TTTTCTTTTTGGCACTTACTGCTACCAGTTTACTTTCCTCAAATCCTTTCTTAATCCACTTTGATGTGACTTCTAAGAGCTTCACTCCCCTCAATTAGCCCTTGCTAAAATAACCAAGAAACTCTCTGTTGCCATATCCAAAGGAAATTATTCAGTTTTCATCATTTGTGGTTTTTTAGTAAAATCACTACAAGGGACCACTTCCTCACTCAACTTTCTCTTGCCTTAATGCATGCAGTACTTAGATTTTCTTCCTTCTCTATTTACTCCTTTTACGTTTCCTTAGCAGATTCAGCCTCCTATGCCAGTTGGTGAAATTCAAAATTCCGCAAGCCTTCATGCTAGTACTCATCTCATCTTCCTCTCCTGTCTTTTTCCACATGTATCCACTACTTGGTCAATTGTATCTAATATGACATCAAAAAATCTACATGTTTAGCTTTGATCTCCCTTCTGAACTCCAAACTTAGATATATATCTTCATATTACAGATCCATTTGAATGTTCCTCATGTGTCCCCAACTCACTAGGTATACTCTTTCTCCCCTAAAATTTGATCTTCTTTCAGTTTTTTCCCTCTGTCAGTAATGCTGAAGTTTAAACCAGAAACCGAGGACTTTTTCAACCTAAACCTCTTCTTTATTTTTTATATTTTAATAATTACCAAGTATTATGAATCTCTCACACACACACACACACACACACACCCCTTGAGTTTCTGGATATCTTTCCTTCTCCAACGCCATCTCCAGAGTCCAAGTACTGTTTCCTTAGACTGATACTATGTGCTTGTAAATGGTCTTTCTACACTGTAGTCTTAGTGATCCCTTCAAAATGCAAATCTGATTTCATCATCCATATCCAATCTGCTTCATAATTGCCTTCACTTCTCACTGCTCCTATGGTTAAGGCATATTTTGTTCTTGCGTGTTAACTATTTATGAAACCTGGACCCTGGTCAGTGTCTAAAATTGTGCCTATTGTATAAAAGTAATTCAATACACATATTTTATTTTATTTATTATTTTTATTTTATTTTTAAATTTTTTAATAATTTCAACTTTTATTTTAGATTCAGGAGATACATGTGCAGGTTTGTTACATGGATACATTATGTGATGCTGAGGTTTGAGGTACTGTTGACCATGTCACCTAGGTAGTGAGCATAGTCCCCAGTGTGTTTTCAACCCTTGCCCCCCTCATCTTCTGCCCTTGGTAATCCCTAGTGTCTATTGTTTCTATCTTTATGTCCATTAGTACTCAATATTTAGCTCCCATTTATGTCTGAGAATGTGCAATATTTGGTTTTCTGTTTCAGTGTTAATTCACTTAGGATAATGCCCTCCATCCAGCTGCATCCATGTTGCTGTAAAATACACGATTTTGTTCTTTTTTATGACTGTATAGTATTCTATGGTGATACACGTATTTTAAATAAGAGTAACTTGGCTCTGTGAAAGTAAAAATTGCACTGGGAAAAGCTAAACCAACAAAGAAGACTTTTCTATTCCAAAAAGGAAGAGAGAGATCAGAACTCAATCTCTAAACTGGGCTGAAACTCTGGAGAGTTTTAAAGGATGGGTTGGGAGTTTTTAAGAGTGAAGGAGTTTTTAACAACATTTGGGTAGGTATGGGGGATTGTGACCATATGTGTTTGCTAATTGGGTTTGTCCAAAGGATATATAAACTTTCTCATATCTTTGTCACAGAAAGTAGTTCTACAACTTGGAACAAGGGACCCTCTGTCTGAAGTTATGTTTCTACCTTTCCACAGAGACTGGAAGATAGAGATGCCTCCTTTTTTTTTTTTTTTTTTTAATTATACTTTAAGTTCTAGGGTACATGTGAACAACATGCCGGTTTGTTGCATATGTATACATGTTCCAGGAGATGCCTCCTTTCTTGATGATTACCTTTCAAAGGGTTGGCTCCAGGCCCTTTAGAAAGACAGTCTGGTGTTGAAAAACTGCCAAGAGCCTTTAAAAAAGATTTACATGTATAAGGGACAAATAAAGAATTTACAATTACCAGAAATCTGAAGCAAATTATCTATGAGAAGGAAGGGAAAATACCCTGATGCTTAGGCTATCTGAATCACATAAAGGACTGAGTGAGCTTAAGACGGGGCCTGGAGGTCGGAAGGAGCCTGTCCCAAATTTAAAAAGCTGAGAGAAGGCTTCAGGTCACCTTCATTACTCCTTATTTATTTTGCTATCATTTTCTAGGACTCTGTTCCTTAACTCATAGTGCCCCAGCCGAAGAATACTTTCTTCAGTTATCCCTCCTATCAAGTTCATATCCAAGATAGCATTTCTTGAGTGCTTTCTCTCATATTAGAGAGTTCTTGATGTTCTAAATACATGAGAATGCATTTTGAGTTTTTATTTTGTTGCATTTGTAAAATATTTCTTACCACTTTGAGGATCATTTATGCCATTCTGTTTGCTTTAGTCTCTATATTTTCAGCTGGAGGCTGTACTCAAATATCTGGTTATCCTTGGCTGTTTGATCATATTTAATAGATTTTAAAAGGCTCACTGCAAACTCTAGGTGCTTACTCAAAGCTGAAAAACTGAGTTTCACTGTGGAATATGTAGTGGGTAATTTAGTTAGAAAATCCATGAAATGTATATTTAGATAGAGTTGGTGTAGTGCACTGATTAAGATTATGCACCTTGTAGGTAATCTTCTCATGTTTGAGTCATGGTTTTGCCAGTAGGTAGCCATGTAATTTTAGGCAAATCATTAACATCATTGTGTTTTGGTTTTCTTGTTTATAAAAGGGGTATGAAAATACCTACATATTTTTATAAAAATTAAAAATTTTAATATTTGTAAATAATTTAGAATAATGTCTGACACATACTAAAATTTATACATGTGATTTTTTATTATTACTATTAATACTATCTATTTTGCTTGAAAAAAATTTCTGTTCTTTCTGGAGGAAGTATACGAATGAAGACAGACACAAGGCTGACTGGTCTGCACATTGGTTATGGATTTCAACTTATTTCTTCTGGTTTTAATATGGTCTTCCCTGGCTCAACTGTCCAGCATGCTCTTGCTTCCTCCCAGAGCATAAAACCTCTAGTCCCTGCTTGGGTGGGATGGGGGAGTCATCATTCTATTCAGAGACAGGCTGTAACAATCTGTTTTTTAAAGCATCCCTTCAATAAATTCTACTGTTTTTAAACCCATATTTATTTCGGCTTTGAAAGGGATGTAGAACTGACTATCTCTGGACATTTGTGGAGTGAGGGTGTATTCTAAAATTACCTATTTCCTAGTAGGTGACCAGCAGATAATCATATTTCTTAAATTGGGCTTTCATATTTATTATGAGAATTAAAACACTTTGGGTGATTTTTCTATCTAAATATATTTTGCCATCTAAGTAGAAATACTTAGAGAAATGAAAAATCAGTGCTGTAAAGTATTTCAAGAATTTTAAGTGAGTATATGTTTTGTAAACTTATTACACCAATTAACTTAGTACTGTAGACCAGATATTTCAAATGTGAAATAATATGATAATTCATAGTAATTTAAAATTAAACTATCTATATTTGTAAAGGATACAGTAGCAACATTTCTTAAAGTTGCTTGGTTTTCAGTTGTGATTAAAAAAAAAAGGTTTGATGTGTTTACCACATGGATTACAGCAAAATATTCACAATGAATGAATTAATGCACTATTATAAAATATAATTATCTTGGCCAGGCATGGTGGCTTACACCTGTAATCCCAGCACTTTGAGAGAATGAGGCAGGCATGTTCAGTGTTTCACTGCAGAGCAAAGGTTTGGATTTCTACCCAGTCTCAGCCCTGATTCTGTCCTTGTCTTTATAGAGCACTCATTGTACCTTTTTCTTTTACCTAATAAATCATAAGGTACTTATTTCCATTTTATCATTGAAACAGTGCCAGGATTTTTCTCTGTAATATTGTGGGCCTGCCTTGTAGTGGAAATAGTGGTAATATCACATTTATTTCTTTGTACATGTAGAAATAAAAGCGTACTTAAACTGTAAAAAAAAGTCCATATCTATTTGCTTGAAAAGAGTTTTAACTTTTTATGATCATGCAAGCAGTATGATGAATATCCTTCCTGTGTTTATAACTTCAGGATTATTTTTGATATTTGTATGATAATTAAGTGACGATAAGGGTTTCACATATGAACTTTCAAGGAGCAGATGCTAACGTTTTTCCTGTTTATGTTTTACCAGGACCTTCTGAACAAAACCTATTTTCTTCTTTTAGTAATGAAATTCTAGTAAAGCCCTACTCATAATTTTCAGTTGGATATAAGCACTATTCAATTGTATTGGTCCAGGAATCTTTAGTTATTTAGTAGGCCTGAAGAATAGATTTCTGAAGTCCAGCTTAAAGAAGTTCTGAGGTGATCAATTTTTTTCTCAGTGGAAATGTAGACATCTTTATTTGTAACATCCTTATTGGTAACACATTCTGCTCCTCTCTTCAACCTATATTTTTTTGTGTGTATCCCTGGGGGTTAATGTAGCATCTGTGTTATGTTAACCTAAATTGGGGAAAACAAACAAACTCTTGTAGTCTTACAGTTTCAATCTGAGTGCAGTGTTTCTCTCTTCTATATTTGTTGTTAAAGAGATGTTGACAAATATGAAATACTCAGGTAAGAGACAAGAACAAAGAACTTCCTTATAAATCATTTATTTTCTATTATATGTATAACTTTCTATGATTTACTGAGATGCATTTTTAAACATTAAGATTTAAAAAAATATATTTGTTAAATAAATCTATACTATATCTAGAAATATGATGAGAAATTGCTATGAGAAACTCGTTATACACATTCAGATTTTTTCGGTATATATATATCCCTTAAAAATTACATTGTTTAAGACGGTACAAGTAAAATAAATGTAGTCCATTGTGTCTAAACATTATAGGACCACATGGAAACTAAGGAATATCTTTCTTACGACCAACTTATATTTATTTTCTTCAGAAATCAAAAATCTCCACGTATGACAAAATGTGGGCCTTTATGAGTAGCAGAAGGCAGTCAGTGCTGGTCAAAAGTAATGAAGAAGGAATCCAGCGAGTCCTCACCTCTGATTATGCTTTCCTAATGGAGTCAACAACCATCGAGTTTGTTACCCAGCGGAACTGTAACCTGACACAGATTGGCGGCCTTATAGACTCCAAAGGTTATGGCGTTGGCACTCCCATGGGTAGGTTATATGTCAGCTATTTGTTCTTTGTCCATTAATCTGAGTTGCTGTAAGACAGGGGTAAAACAGTGTTTCCACATATGCCATTAGGAATTTTGTTTTAACCAAATGCATCCTGCTACCCCTCTGTGACTATATAAAAGCAGGTTATCAATTTGTATGAAAGCAGGTTATCAATATATTCTTCTAAATAGGTAAGTCAAAAAAAGGAAAAATTAATTTCTATCAAAATGGTCAGTGGATATTTTTACTGTATCAGTGTTGAAAAACCCACAGCATAACCCAGCTAACCTTCTCTTTTCAATCTTAAATTCAAAAAATGTTTTATGAGTACACTAAAGTTTTTGTAACAATTTACTTTTTTAAATCTGTGGCTTACGAATACAGTATTTGACTTAGAGAGTTAACTAAAATAAGTGAGGCATAAATGGCTCTCATGAATATTATTAGAATTGTTTTACTTAAAAGAAGGTACAAACAGCAGACTATTTACCAATGCCGTATCTAGAATACTTAACACTGAGGATTATTTGTAACATCCCCCTTCTTTCATATGGCAAATTATTTTTAATCAAAATAATCAAATGAGATAATGAATTGTAATTTCCAGAAAACAATAATAAAAATCTTGATTATATATATACAAACATGTATGAATATGTATATGTTTCTGCTGTAAGTAAATACATATATATATAAAACATTACAGTACATATGTACGTGTGGTAGACAGAATAATGACTTCCCAGAGATATCCATGTCTTACTTCCCAGAACCTTTGAATATGTTACTTTATAGCAATATACTTTGAATATAGCATATACTTTGAATATGTATCATAGCAAAAGGTACTTTGCAAATGCGATTAAGTTAAGGATCTTGAGATGGGGAGATTTTCCTGGATTAACCATATGGGTCCAATGTAATCACAAGAGCCCTTGTAATAGAGAGAGTATAGGGTCGAGTCATAGTTAAGATGTGATTTTGACGGGATGTAAGAGAAAGAGACAGGGACAGAGAGAGAGAGAGAGAGAAAAGAAGAGAAGGGGAGAGGAGAGGAGAGGAGAGGAGAGGAGAGGAGAGGAGAGGAGAGGAGAGGAGAGGAGAGAGATCTGTAGATATTATTTGTTGGTACTGAAGATGGAAGAATGAGCCATGAGCCAAGAAATGCCAGGTGACCTTTAGAAGAAATACAGTCCTTCAGAGACATCACTTTTAGGACTTCTGACATCTAGAACTTTGAGATAATAAATTTTATATTGTTTTAAGTCACTAAGTTGACGGTAATATTTTAGAGTAGCAACAGGAAACGAATTGTAGAGAGAGAAAAAAGTAATAGCATATTTTATTTACATCAATGTACTTTTTGAAAGAAAGGGGAAAACATATTCATGATTTATCGCAGTAGTAACTAATAACACTATACATGTTTTGGACCTTAACTTCTGCAAATTTGTCAATGACTTGGTGAAAACCAATCATTGCTTTCTGGCAACTCTGAAATGTCTAGGAAGTCAAATAATTTTCTGCCAAAAAATTTAATATTAAATCACACTACATATGGAAAATCATCTGAAATTTATTAGGATTTAAAATAGCTTTAATTAGTTTCAACAAAATTTTGAGATACTAATTCTTGCATTTATGTAGTAGAGTCATAATAAAGAATAATTGTGCAGTCATTATGGAAATGAAAAAAAAATAAACTTGAGTTCTTACTCCCAAAATAGGCAAGTGTAGCTGAGTCAATACAAGTGAGGGGTAAATGGTATAACTGCAATTTTCCTGTTCTATTTCTGGGTAGAATATAATGCTTATTAAAGAATTAAAGATAAATATTTGCTAATTTGAAAGTCAATAAAAGCTCAGTTGTTAAAACTCAAAAATAATTGTTTAGAACTTAGACCAACAAAAGATATTTTAAAGGAGGAATATTTTATCTTTTACATGTTTTAGACTTTCCAGTGCATAATGATACTGATGCTACTGTTTTTAAATTCTCCACAGAAAATATACTCCCACCAGGCAAAGGTTTCCTCAAGCTTTGTCCCTGTTATTCCAGTATTATGTACAAATTCAAAATTGGGCAATTAATTTTAATATACTATAAATGTATTAAAATGATTGCATTTTCACAATTATATTGCTGATAAACATTTTTTTACTTCTCAAAATGTGTTAAATTATACTTTTATTTCCAGTAAGGCTTTGGTTTATTGCCTTAGCTCTGTTTAATGGGAGGACTCAAATCTTGGCATTCTGGATAGTTAGGTCAGTTATGGTTCTTTCCCTCAATAAGAAATGCGTGCTGAACCCAGAAACTTCATGAGTTACTGCACCAGTTATTTGGAATATGTGATGCACAACTTCTTTGACAATTTTTGAAATATGTTTTCTTCCCTAGGAAAAATGATATATTCATAGAAGAAGAGGCTGATATTGTGCTGTGAATATCATATCATCATGCAGTATTCTGCACACTGATATTCTAAACTTATTCTTGTCACTACAGTGCCTTGGAAAAGTAACTTGGAATTTATGGCCTCTAACTTTAATTTTTTTAAACTAGTAAAAGAAGAGGATTATATTATCTCAGGTCCATTTAAATGCTAAATAATTTGGCAGATAATGTACCTGATAGATTCTCAGAGTTTAGTCTAAATTAGGCTAGACTACATGGAGAAATATGGTTAGTTGATGTCTCAGAACACATTTAAAAAATCAGGCACACTCTTAAAGTAGTTATGAGAGGTGGAAGCAGTGGTTTGCTAGGCTCCCATCATCTTGTAGTTTCATTTGGGAAGAGCTGAAATAAATGAACACATTTTTTAGTGTTATCTCTGAAAGGAGTGAGACTCATATATTGCTACCATTTTCTCTGGGTTTGCATTGTCTGGATAAGACTCATATATTGCTACCACTTTCTCCTGGTTTCCGTTGTCTGGATAAGGGCAGGATTATTTGTCTCTCTTTTGTTGTTCATTGTTTCAACCACCATCATACTCTGCATTTCTCAACTGGGAAATTAGCATTTGCCTTTTTATGTTACCATTGCTGAAGCATGCTGAAAATGATATTAGTGTGTTAATATATTTACTTATTTTAAAAATTGTGTGTAATTATAAACAAAAAAAAAGGATTCATTAAGGTGTGAAAAATATTCCTTCAGGTTCTTGCTCTTTCTCAGCGAGAGTTAATGAGAATAGCTATATTCAAAGCAGAGGAATATGGGCTAAGGTTCTGCAAAATTCAGATTAGTTCCAGAAGTTCCCCAGGCTTTTTAATTTATATATTCAGGAGCTATAATCCACAGTGAAAATTTCACCGTTAGTAATATTCTATATGTAATCAAAGACAGGAACTTCCTTTTCTTTGCTTTTATTATTTCTCAGATTTTGAGGTATTTTCAAGAAAGCCTATGTAGTTTGGTGAAGAGAAATATCATGAGTCTTTTTGAGTGGGAAATCAGAAAAAAATTTTTAAATTGTACATATATCCACCCGTGCCCTATTTCCCCCCAAATTCATACATCCTCTTCTTAGCCTGCCACGCTACCTTCTAATTGATTCGTTTAGGGACCTCACCACCACCATTCATCACTCTGAGTGTGATCGTTACTGCCCGAAGTGTGCTGTGAGATCGCTGAATGACTCAGAATAAGCTATTTAATTAAGGAAGCTCTGTTTACACAAAAATACCTTAGTGGAGCAATCAACAATGATGTGAAGGTAAATGCTAAATAAGCTTAAGCAAGTTTAATTAAGTCTGGAGTGACATTAAATTCCTTTCATAGTTTTCCTGACTGCAGCAACTTTATTTTAATGTGGCATTTACTGTATGGTAGATTTTTGAAGTTGCAGGAGACCTTACTCGGTAAGTTAACTGAGCTTCTTATTTCATTCAAAATAATATTTTTAAAAGCTCGGAGTGAGTTAAAAGCAAGGAGCAAAATCATGGTAGTTTCATTAAGGAATGTCTAAATTGTGTGAGCAGGTGCCATCTTGCCTCTTATTTCACCATAGGTGATAATCTATTTATCTGAACTGGGAGCATTTCTCCTCCTTAATGGCATTTTTGGCTGCATTGCTTCTCTCCTGACTGCCCGTACTTAAAAGCCTTCTTGGTTTCTCTTTTTCAAATGTTGAATGCATATTACACTTTGAGGACTAGGCAGACTCAGCAGTGCATGAGCTGGTAGGAAAGTAGCAGTCTAGAAAAAATCCATTAGGGCCAATTGGTGTTATTTTGCTTTGCTTTATGCAATTTGGTAGAAATATTATAAAATGACTGAAGGGTCTCATTAAGATGATTTCTATTTTTAGCAATGAGTTAGTGACCTCTTTCTTTCATGTATTAGTTCCTCACAACTTTAATAACAAGCGATGTATGTGGCAGCTGAAAAAGGGATGGAATTGTGCTCATGTCTGTGCATATTATTGATAATGTAATTTTCTGTAATTTCAGTTGTTTCTATTTTACTTGTAGGATTAAATCAATAGTGAATTTCAGTCAGTGAGTATATAATTATTTAACAGTCAGTGAGTAACTATTTCTGTGAACAAAACCTAAAATAAATTAGTCATATAATAGAGAATTACTGAAATACACACTACACATGAGGAATGTAAAGATGAAGTGGACATATTTGCAATGCCCTTTAATATGAAGATTAAATTTAAAGATAATTTTAGCCACACACAAAGCTGTTACATATGTTTTATTTCTCTCGTATTTACTGATTTAATTAGAAATATTAGAGTGTATTGTATTTAGTAATTGACTTTAATGTTACCTTTACAAGCTAATGCTTTAAAACAGTATTATTTATGAATATCCAAAAGCAGTAGTACTATTAATAATCCTCAAGTAACTTTTATCAAATTATGTTTGATAAAATTATGGGTAATGTGCTTACCCATAATTAGCCTAAAATAAAAAAAGTAACAATGGGTTATATTATTGACTTTTTATGGTAGACGTGCACCACTTAGGCATATAAA